TTAGGGTTAGGGTTAGGGTTAGGGTTAGGGTTAGGGTTACAGTGCGCTTCTGTCGGCACGGTGTTGTCGGCGCGCTTCAGCACTCATTCGTCGGCGTGCTTTTGTTGGCACGGTTTTGTCACCGCGGTTTAGTCAGGCGCGCTTTTGTCGTTCGCGCATTTGTGGGTGAACCACCTTGGGCCATACAGAAATTATCTGTATTTCTATTTGTTACATAACATTACTATATTGGGGGAAGGGGGCATCTTACATAGATAATACTATCCAGTTTGGCTGCCATTCGTAATCACATCATGCTTTGAGAGGTTTATGAAGCGAACACAACCATTTTGATTGAATTACTGCCTTCTATGAGTTTTGAGAGCTGTGTGTTTATTTCTTGATCACTGGAATATATGAGAGCATTTACTTTATTCTAAACTTCCTTTAAATCACATTGATTGGTATGAGTTCCCCCTGGATAGCATTTAATGGTTTATTTTCCACTGCTTCTGAAAGGTTCTTTAAGGGAGATCTGTGCTATTTATAGTGAAACTAAACCTAAAAAGTACAGAAATTAAGTGGTAGAAGGTCTTCCCTGCTTCTAGTAAGAGATAGGTATATGTTCTCTGTAATCATGATATATGTATTTAATCTTGTATGCCTCCCACAGATAGCTGTAAAAATCCGTTATAGGTGGCCTCCATTTTGAATGCTTAAATGGCATTCCTTATATGAAACCATGTGCAAGAACTGTTCCTTTCCTTATTAAAAAAATATGTGTTGACATGTATATATTATTCATGTTTTACTGAGACATAAATAACAGGTTTCAAGTTCTCCCATAGAGCCAGATGATAGGTAAGCTTTCCCCCTGAAACACCATGAGTGCACCATGAGTTCTGTTCCTCGTTGGAACAGAAATATTTTAATGTAAAGGAAGGATGCCAAAAGAACAGTAATAATACAAAAAAAGGGGAGGCAGAAATCCCGTCAAGCAATGTTAGATTCTATTCACTCTTTGTTACACTAAGACTATGAGGTTAAGACCAAGAAAGTACATGCTAATTACTCAAAATATTGTCAATGGGATTCCTGCCTCCCCTTCTTCTCTCTGCAGCTCCCATCCTCACATTCCCTTTGCAGAAAAACCTTTGAAAGCATGCAAAGAGCCACAGAGAGCAAAAAGTATCTCTTTCCCCTATCTCTTTCCAATGTTTCCATAAATTTCCATAAATTTATTCCATTCCATGAAATAAATAAATAAAAGTACCACTGGTTCCTTTCTTCATCAAAAGGTATGTACTATACATGTTGTTCCACAGATATCCAAATAACAATAAAGCAAATTTAAAATAGCTCTTTTGATTTCACCCTACACCAGGGGTGGGTTTCTCGCCCCGTTCCAACCGGTTCGGTTGGAACGGGGCCGGCGGCGTCCTCGTGCACG